AGAGAAGAGCAGCGAAGCTGGTGAAGGGTCTGGAGCACAAGTCTTGATGAGGAGTGGCTGAGGGAACTGGGATTGTTTAGCCTGGAGAAAAGGAGGCTGAGGGGGGAGACCTTACTGCTCTCTCAACTACCTGAAAGGAGGTTGTAGTGAGGTGGGTGTTGGGCTCTTCTCCCAAGTAGTTAGCTATAGGATGAGAGGAAATGGGCTCAAGCTGCATCAGGGGAGGTTCAGATTGGATATTAGGAGAAATTTCTTCCCGGAAAGAGTAGTCAAGCATTGGAACAGGCTGCCCAGAGAGGTGATGGAGTCACCATCCCTGGAGGTGTTAAAAAAAACGTGTAGATGTGGCACTTTGGGACATGGTTTAGTGGGCATGGTGGTGTTGGGTTGATGGTTGGACTGATGATCTTAGAGATCCTTTCCAACCTTAATGATTCCTAGTTTTTACTTTCATTAAAAAATAATCCAGCCACCAAGCCAGGAAACATGAAATTGCTACTTTACCCTTAACTGTTTTAGTGGTGGACTTGGTAGTGTTAGGTTAATGGTTGGACTGGATGATCTTAAAGGTGTTTTCCAACCTAAATGATTCTGTGATTTTATGGTTCTGTGAAAAAGAGCTCTTTATGTGGACCAGTCAAGTGTCCCAACATAAAGGCTGTTTTCCACCTGGACTACGTGTATTGAAGATAGAAACTGTTGAAGCTTGCAACAAAACTGTTCAGCTTTCAAAGGTTCTGTCTATAACTTCTGCCTGGTTTGCCAAGGAATTGGTTTTCCACCATCAGGACACTATGGGCCTTATTTACAGGATAGTTTTACGTCAACAAATGACCAACCTGTGTAAGTGTGTAATCTTGATATTTCATGGGGAGGGAAAAAAAATAAAATGTTGAATTGGTATTTATATACCTCACTGCCATGTGCTTTCTTTTGTTAATATTATTCGTGTTCTATTAAGCTGGTTTAAAGTTGGTCAAACTGTGCTCCATTGAATTACGTCATCTGTTCCTTGCCTCAAGGGACGTGTAATTTGGTGCCCACCTTTCTGCAGCTGCTCTGAAAGCCCAGTTGTCTACAAGCCAAGTGATTTTGTTCTCAGTTTGTAAATGTTTGAAAGATACTGAAGGAGCTTAATAGAAGTGTTAGTCAGTAAAAGATGACCCAGTGAGAATAACAGTAAATATTCATTACTATTTAGCACACTGTAACATAGTAATATTAATGCATGTGTGTTTTATATGCAGTAGTGCATTGAGGACACAGAGTACACTTATTTCTCTGTGACATTACAGCTTTTTGGCTTGTATTTCCTCTGTCTTCCAAACGATGACAATAGACTTAATCTTAGGTTATAGTTGGTATTTATGTCTTTAAAGGACACCACTAACTTAAGCACTGTGTTTCTGTCTAAATATTTTGTGATCTGCTGACTCTTGTTGCAAGTGTCAGGTAATACTGAAATATCTGAAACATATCAGAGGAGCATTTTTTGTCTTTGCAGCTTGTTTACTTTGTGTACAGCAAATGTTGATGAAACTAGTATCAATGTGGTTATAAGGAAGAAAAAAAGAAAAATAATAGCAATCTAAAACTTCTTTTTAGATATCCAGTGTCTTGGCTTCGAAGAAACCTGCTGTGCTCCTTACTTTGGTGAGTCATATTATTCTGAAGAATAACTACCCGTTTTCTTCAATAAAGAGATTGGTTTATTCAGTATTTCTTTGTCATTCCCGATCTTTTCCTCCCCATCTTTGCCAAATTTGAAGCTACCTGTGTATCGTCACCTAGTCTTCTGGCTCCTCCATGATCTCAAGATTTGTAACCTCTGGCCTTCCAGTCTGTATTCTGTCGGCCAAAAGCTTTATCTGTTTTGTGGTAAAACATGACAAGCCTATCTAAGATTGACCATGCTGTCCTTCAGCCCATGTACAATGACTCCAAACTCCATTTTTCTCTTCTACTGCTCTGGTCATGTCATGAGCATGTTTGGGCCTTTCTGTGGGAATCCCACACGGATTCAGAGAATACTTTTTCTGCACTGAGTGAGTGGTAAGAACAGTTTCTGGGAGCAGGGAGTGATATCACACGCCTACCAAGTATTTTGAATGGTGCTTGCTTATTTCTCTGGAAGAAGGATGAATGAATAGATGTAAAGCCTGCAAGTTTCTTCCTCCCCACCACCTCTCCCCCAGCTTCTTTCCTTGACAGATGTTTTGTAAACCTCTCAATATTAAGAGTATCTGATGTCTTGTCTCCAATCTATATAAGAAATGATTTCTGGACTCCGAGCTTTCCCTTATAGAAATGCAGTGGCAGCTCCTGGATTTCTTGTCTTCCCATGACAGTTGCCAGACAGAAGTCTTAGAAAAAAATCCCTCCTTAAGCAGTCACATAGCATGAGATCCGATTTCTTTATTCATTAAGAACAGAGGCCCTGAATAGTTTTCAGTCTTTCTTCCACTTATATTTGTATACACCTACACATATAAAAGATTACTCTAGAGCTTTTTTCATGCTCTTTAAGAGAAATGAGTGGGAAAGGGAATATTTGACCATCTTGTGCTCCTTAATGTTCATTTCTGCACATCAAGTTGTTGATTAGCTGTCACTCTATGCGCATCCTGGTGTAATTGTGAATTTTCACCTAATTCCTAGCTGAGAGGATGGAGCTGTGATGCTTTCACATTCCTCCCACTGCCATGAAGAAGTATACAGAGAAGGGAAGAGCACTTCTCTTTCTGCTGGCTGAATGGAAACTTGGTCCTCTCCTCCTGTGGTCTCATTCCAGATGCAGAACTGTAATGCTGCTCCACAGGGTTTCCCAGGCATGTCAGAAGTGTTCATCTGCTGTGTAGCAGCCACAATACTCTTGCTTATGCTACTTGCTTGAATGGAAAGCTGTAGGGGAGCGGCATGCAAATTTAAATAGTAAACATTGCCAAGGCAGTGCGTAATAATTTATTTTTAAATGAAATTCCTTTAGAAGAGACCTTACCCGTTTGTTATTCCCTTGCCCTTTATTATTGTATAGGTCTCCTAGCTCCCTTGCAAGACATAAAGGAATTAGAAATCAAAGCTTGCCATTTTCCTAAGCAGTACATCCTAACCTGAGTTCCACTCTGATCCGTTATGAAACAAATGATTTCTTGTATTGGTCTGCATTTGAACAAACAGTCTGGGGTTTTTTATTTATACTGATGCAAGTAAACTTATGTATAAGTTTTCCTAAAGACTTACTACAATCAGGTTTTCCCCATGATTTACATTCTAAATACTTGTGTTTGGCTCAAAATCATGGTCCATTTAATCTTTTCCCTCACAGCGTGGTGTTAATACTGATAGCGGAAATGTCTCCAAAGAAGCTTCGTTTGAGGGAATCAGCCAGTAAGTGACAAGGCTTTTTTTATACATTAATTGTTGCATGGTTATGTTGAATTCATTCTATATTTCACATTAAATGATGTTTTTTCCTAATGAAAGGATGTTGAATGGCAGATCAAATGTATTGGTACTTCTTTGGAAATAAAATGTTTGATATGTTTCTAATGACTTGAAATACAATGGTGTTTTTTTTTTGAAATCTCTTTTGCATCTAAGGTTTCTCTGTGTTTGCTTTAAGTATCTAAAGCCAAACAGATGCATCCCCTTACCTCCATTTCCACTTTTGGGATTGGAATATTTGGTTTTCAGATTTCAGAAAAATGAATGTCTAAGTGTAGCTTCTTTCTTTTAGTGACTTCCTTGTACAGCATTAAGGTAGATATTAAGGGTTCTGGTATGCACAATCTTCTGAAAGGATGTTGCATTACAGGTGTAAAATAAAAGATCACCTTTATGCCTAGATGTAATCTTTTAGTGTCCCTTGATGTTGTCTTTTTATGAAGTTTGGCTACTAGTAGGGTGAAAATGTCCTCCTGCATGCAGTATTTTGAAAAGGCAGTAAATAAAAATACATCACAGCCTGCTCTGGGATGTGAGGATGATGGCCTCAATTTTGAATGAAATACAACTGTCTATTCTGTTATGATATCCTAAAATGAGATAATTTTCCATTTTAGCTCAACTGTATGGCAAAAACCCCCCAAAGACTCCCATTAAAAAGCTTCTTAAAATAAACACGCTGAAATGTTGAGTAGATGGCCTTTTTTTTATGATCCTTGACTCCCAGTCACGCCGCTATATTTTTCTCCATCCACCTGTCGACAGCATGTTAATTATGCAGTGATGATTGTAATGCACAGAATTTGCTGCAAGTCTGGGCACTCATTTGTGTAGTCTGGGAGCACACTTTCTGCTGGGATCATCTTTTCTTTGTGTCATGTGAACTGAAATTGGGAATCTGATTCCAAAATCACCTTGTTCTCCCCTCTACAACCTAAATGGAAACTTAATGATTCTGTCAGGGATATTGGGGACCAAGGTGGCAGACATTTAGACATCTTTTGCTGCCCAGTGAGTTAAATATAAACTCTTCCAGAATATAAGCAAGCCATTTTTAATGAACATTTGGTGTCCTCTCTGCTCTTACAGCAGTATGATGTTCTGTTGCTTTGACTTATCTTACACTCTCTAGGTACAGGTGGACTCCAAAATCTGTGTGGAGCAATACCTCCACTTTTATCTGAGACACCTCCACATGAAATATAAACAGTTATTAACTCCAGCAGTAATTTGTTATGGGAATGATGTACAAAGGTCTGTTTGAAGTACCAAAAAGCCCTTTTTTCCCCCTGAATTTCACTAAACACTAGAGTTTAATTAGTAACTCATTCTGTTACTAGTCAACATTGAGGTAGGAAGCCACTCCATTTAGCACTTGATTTGAGATTTTAATAGCATGTCTCCTGTAACACTTAAAGGGATTAATGATATTTTATCACTGGCTTCCTGTGTGCTCCTGGAAGAGTGCTTTGCCATTCTTTCGGGGCAATTTCCAGCTGTTTAGCAGATACTTCTCTTTTGAGACCTGGGATATGCTCATCCCTGTCCACCCCTAGGCACCAAGTTGTTCATTTTGCTGCTTTTGACAGATCTCGTTGGTGTCTTTCCCTCCCATGCTCGTGGTACGGAAGAGCATGCATTGGTTTTGTTGTTGGATGTGCTGAAGTCCACTCCTCTTTGCTGACAGATACCGTGCCCTCAAACCACTTGTCATTCCAGCCTTCCCTTGATCTCCTGAACTCCTGCTTCTGTCTTCTCTGCGGCTGTCACGTCTGTCGTGAGAGTGTGCTTGGTCTACATGCTGGTGGTAGGCACACGGAAAGTGAAAACTGCTAATTGAGGGTGCAGAGGAGGGGGGGAGCTTCCTTTTAAACTCTGCTCTCCTCAGATTTTTGTAACTGCGCATAAATCAGCCCATTTTATATTTATTTTCGACACAGACCCAAACCAATTTCAGCATTCCTG